ACAGGCTCTTGCCTAAATCAATCTAAATTAATTCTAATGAGGGGTTTTCACTAAGTTAATGCTGATAAGGGCTTTAATAAGTGCTAACCTGAGAACTGAAAATTTGCCGGATGTCACACACAAATGCAATGAATTGACTTTATTGGGTCAAAAGGATGTGATTATTGAAGGTTATTGGGTCAAGTAGATGAGATATTTAGAAGTTGTCGAATCAAAGTGATGCGATAAAAGCTAGTTGTCGCACGCAAATATGCGATGACTATGAATAATAAGGAAGCGATAACTTGGCAGTTCTTAAGGTTTTTGGAAGATTTAAAAAAATTTCACAAATACAGTCCAGAACCTTTTAATTAAGGATATATAGGATTGAATACCAAAGTCTTACAACTTTAATTCTCAAGATACAACCTAGAACTGAATAAAAGCCAATAAAACAGTGAACTGATCTCACATCGATGGTTTTCCAAGAAATGAGGCTGAGTCTTCTTCCAATGTCGATCTTATGCTTTGATACCAATTGCCGTTTTCCTAGAAGATTACAAGAACAATGAAATAACAATAACACAATGCAATGAACAAATCAGTCGGCTTGTCTATTGATTCAAAATATGGAATTATAAAGATTGTTTGCCTTGGGTGGCGCAAAGACCGTGGAATTACCTACTCTAGAAAATAGAGTAGCTATATATATCTTGATGGTATTTATATTTTTGGTCCTTCTACTTTATTACAAACAAAATATAAAACCTAACACAATAACACCTAAAATAATGCGCAGGAGACTTTATGGCCCCTAGCAAGGTCGCATGGCAAGGTTGTATGAATCACATGTGATTTTGTACGTGATGTTAGTGTAAAATCATGTGATTCAGTCATTTTCTTATTTTCTTAAATAAATACTATTCTCATATGAACTCGACTCTCTCTCTCTCTCTCTCTCTCTCTCTTATATATATATATATATATATATAGGGGTGAGTTCAAATAAAAACCACTCAATTTATAAAAACCGTGAAAACCTCATTCAACCAATCATAATTTTTCATTTTGTTCATTTTTTTGTAATTATGAGAGGTTGATTAACCATTTTTATTGTGGAGGGTGTTA